GTGTCACTCTAGTAATAGAGACTGGACAGCCATTTGTCCGAAATGATGTAGGGTTTCCTGCCCGAGCAGGGGGTTGGACTAGATGACCTCCAAGGTCCCTTCCAACTTTACTACTACTACTATTATTATTATTATTATTATTATTATTATTATTATTATTATTATTATTATTATTATTATTATTATATATATATATTGCAACACATATGAATGGGCATGGTGCATAATAGTTAAGCTTCCTTCATTACTGTGACCCCGGGACACTGCGACCGTCATAAGGGTGAGTCAGTTGCCAAGCGTCTCAATTTTGATCACGTGAGAATGGCGACTGCTGCAAAGGGTCGTAAGTGTGAAAAACGGTCCTAAGCCACTTTTTTCCAGCGCTGTTGCAACTTGGAACGGTCACTAAACAAACTTGTGAGTCGGGGCCTCCTGTACATTACTACATTTGGGATGTCCCTCCAAATCAAAAACCCCCCTGATTTCTGGAAAAGTTCATTTTTAAAATAAATAAATAAACAGAATAAAGAAAAATCTGTGGCTTCCCATCTAGCGCACTACGTGCCTTGAGTTCATCTCCATTCACAGTATATTAAAAAGCAGATCCTTCAACACCAGGTAAAAGAAGAGAAAATGAATACTTGAATGATTTAAATAGGATACAGAACGAGCTGGTTACCGACTTGTCTTTGAGAGGTAATTTGTGAATTCAGATAAGGCGGAGAACTGCAGGGGGACCCCAGTTTGGACTTGTCTAGGGATCAGGGAGTTGATGGGGGGAGGGGGAAATCTTGTACCTCATGCCTCCCCAGTGAACACCTTCAAGGCCCAAAATAAACCCAGTGGATTCTATGGGAGCAGCGAGGGCTGCTCAAAGCAGGAAGTTGAGGACGTTGTGCATTCACACGTTCTTCTTCCACGTTGGTCTCGGTGACTCACACATCTGGGTGAATTACAAAGTTTTTACCTGGAAGAGTTTTTGATTGCCGTTAAGGTACCCAGAGAGATCGTTCCAGAGACTGCATCTCCCTGACCAACACAGAACCAGTTTGCAACACTGACTGAAAATGCAGTTAGCCTTCAAGTTACGACCACGGCTGAGCCCCAAATGTATCACTAAGCGAGACATTTGTTACAGGATAGAATAATAACTTTATTGTCACTCTAAACCAGTGGTTCTCCACCTGTGGGTCGGGACCCCATTTGGGGTCGAACGACCATTTCACGGGGGTCGCCAAACAACGCAGTCCGCCATTTTTCCCCCCTTTTCCTTAGCTGTGCTACTCCCTTTTATTCTATTGGCTTTTGAAAGCCAATAGTAATAGTAGTAAAGTTAGAAGGGACCTTAGAGGTCATCTAGTCCAACCCCCTGCTCGGGCAGGAAACCCTACACCATTTCGGACAATTCTATTGGCTTTCAAAAGCCAATAGGAATTGTCCAGGCTGTCTCTGCCCTGCTGAGCCCGCCAAAAGTCCCCTTCTGCAAATGGTGCTGCACCAGTGGAGTAGCCCTCGACTTATGACCGGTTGAGTAGTCCTCAACTTACGACCGGTTGGGGGTCGCGGCATTAAAAAGGTTGAGAACCACTGCTCTAAACATACTCTGATCGGCATATGTTAAAATGAGGTTTGTTTGCATGCAGCTCTCAAAGGGTCACCCCCTCCGATCTACGCTGCACAGACATGATAAAAAAAAATAAGTTATGCATATACCCACGTACACACACCTATGTGTGGCCTATTGAAGCAACACAGTCGAGTTCAGACGTTAAGTGAGTTTTGCCCCGTTTTGCAACTTTTCTCGCCACAGTTGTTCAGTGAATACTGCAGATGTTAAGTTAGTAAGACGGTTGTTAAATTAATCTGGCTTCCCCATGGACTCTGATTGTGAGAAGGTTGCCAAAGTGGATCAGGTGATCCTGGACACTGGAACAGTCATAAATACATGCCAGTTGCCAAGCTTCTGAATCTTGTTCACGTGATCATGGGGATGCTGCAACATCCTACGTGTAAAAATGGTCATAAGTGTCTTTTCTCAGAGTGGTAACTTTGAATGGTCATTAAACGAAAGATAGTGAAGGATTACCTGTAAAACAGGGGTTCTCAACCTTGGCAACTTTAAGACTTGTGGACTTCAACTCCCAGAATTCCTCAGCCAGCAAAGCTGGCTGAGGAATTCTGGGAGTTGAAGTCCACAAGTCTTAAAGTTGCCAAGGTTGAGAACCCCTGCTGTAAAAGGTCTGAGGGCCTTAAATATGTTTAATTGACAAAGAATGTAGACATTTATTATGGATGGGAAAAGGAGAAATCCGGGGTAGCCATTTTTAAATTTTGTGTATTGTGTTGATCACTTTAACTGAGTTTCCTTGTTGAGCGTTCTAGATCCAGTCAGATCCCAATGCAACCCTCAAGAGCAGAAAAAAGATTGAAAGGGTGTGAAAGCAAAGATTACACGGGCTGGAAAGCTCTAAATGCCATTGCTAAATTAAGGCTGCTGGTTTTAATTGAATAATTGGTGTCATTAATCAATGGGAGCCTTATGGAAGGCTTAAAAATGTCCCCCAATTAATCAGCAGGGCTGAAAATAAATAAAGATTGCAGATTGTGCCTGAATATGCTACATGCATTGATATGCTATCTTTTGCCTAACTAAAAAAAAAAGTTGCTAGAAAAAAAATATATCTTAAGGTAGACTTTTCTCTAAAACCTAGCACAATTCTCCTTTTGGCGTTTTCAAGGCAACAGTGAAGGCAGTTAACACTGCTTAAGGAAGATCAGCATTACTTATTTAGCATCAGCATCAGTTCATTTAGTGACCAAAGTTACAACAGCACCGAAAACAGTGACTTATGACCGTTTTTCACAGTTACGACCTTTGCAGCCTCCCCGTGCTCACGTGATTGAAATTCAGAGGCTTGGCAACTGGCATGGACTTATGACGGTTGCAGTGTCCCGGGGTCACGTGATCCCCTTTTGCGCCCTTCTGACAATCAAAGTCCACTGGGAAGCCAGATTATCACTTAAGAACCACGTTACTAATTTAAGAAGTGCAGTGATTCAATTAACAATTGTGGTAAGAAAGGTTGACAAATGGAGCCAAACTGACTTAGCAAATGTTTCACTTAACAACAGAAACTTTGGACTCCATTGTGGTGATAAGTCCAGGACTACCTGTAGTTTTATTAAATTGATCCACAGCATTGTATCTGCAAAGTAATTTTGACTTTGGGGTATCGTGACTCAGAATACCAGCCTTACATTCCAACAAGGAGCTTTCCTTCAATGCATCCTAATTTTTCTTGCTTAGAAAAAGAGATATTTTTCTCTCGCTGGGAATCTCTGAAAGATATGCCAGCTGGCATTTTGAAATCTATCTATTTAAGCGTGGGTTGAAAATTGGACCCACAAAAGATGCCGAAATCTTTTAGAGGGGAAAAGCTCACATGAAGACAACAAAGCCTTAGAACAGTGGTTCTCAACCTGTGGGTCGGGACCCCATTTGGGGTCGAATGACCATTTCATGGGGGTCGCCAAACAAGGCTGTCCGCCATTTTTTCCCCCTTTTCTTTGGCCACGCCCCTGGCACCCGGTGATGTATAAGTGGTTGGGGGTCACCACAACATGGGGAACTGTATTATGGGGTCGCGGCATTAGAAAGGTTGAGAACCACTGCCTTAGAAACATCTCTAGAATTATTAGAGATAAAAGTATTTCCTGAGTTTGACCTGCCAACAATACTTGGCACGTTTATCAAAGGAGGCCACGCTAAATAAATAAATAAAAAATAATAACTCTCATTCTGCATCCGTTTTATTCCAAGACTTCTCAGCAAAAGTTCCAGGTGAATTGCAAAAGGTACCCAACACTCTCTAGGTAGCGTGAGATTCTGCTGAGTTGGACAGAGTCAACTACATTAAAGCATCTTTTTACATAAATGTGCCCCATTTCAGTTACATCAAAGAGGTAAGTCAGGAGAAATTACGCAGGTGAAGAGCTAAGAATCGCTAGTTTCGGATTATCCAAAGAGCGTTTGTGGAACTTTAAAGTGGGGGAGCTAGAAACCACGAATACACACATCTTGGTGATAATTCCATCCTTACTGAAAATTTGACCTACGCAAAAAGGCCAGGAGAATGCCTTAACACACATTCTGGATAGGATGTGATAAAAATTCTTGGCAACAGGGCCAACGTATCAGGACGAAGAAGAAGGATTAACAACCAGTAGAAAATGGTGAACACTAACAGACGGTTTTTTTTATCTAACGAGAGAAACTTCCACGAAAAGCTAGTTAGTGGAGAAAAATCTTTCTGTTTCACGTACGCGTTATTCCGAAGTCTGATAGTTTCTGAAGAGAGAGAAATATATATACATATACATACATACATACATATACATATATATCTATCTATATCTATATAAATAAAAATGTAAATGTTCGTTTGTTCAAAATCTTAAATCTCCGAAAGTTCTTCACCGATTGCTTTGAAATTTTGACACAACGTTGCATTCAAATACGCACGTGTTTTTATGTACCTATATTATATAGATGTCACACCTGTGACAGGTAAAAACATGCTTTTTGTGAAAAACAGCGCCATCTGTTGGATGTAAAAAGCAACACACGCTACGATTTCAGACAATCTCTATATCTGCACAGACAATGGAACAACAAAAAATAATGTATACCCACAAGCATTGTGAAATTAAATATATTACAAACGTGCGCTTTCTCTTTTCTTTCTTTTCCATTTAACCAGACTGAGCCACAGCAACGCGTGGCTGTTATATATATGGCTGTTATACACACACACACACACACAAACATATATATATACACATACACATACATATATATATATATAAAGGTATTAACCACTTCTTGATAACAGCAAGAAGAAGAATTCCTTCTTCTAAAACTCGCTGGCAGCACCAAAAGTTCCTGACAGAGGCAGACCACAAAAGCAAGGGGTGAAGCCTTCACAGCTGGATAAACTCACTGTATTCTTCCCGAAGGTGGTCTGGGATCTGCGGCTCAAAGCCCTCCTTCTCAGGTACCTCCACAAACTCCTCTTCCTCCTCCTCTTCCTCCTCTTCCTCTTTGCTTTTCATCTATGACAAAAGAGTTAAAAAAGAGTTCAAGCAGCCGTGGGAAAAAAAAAAAAATCCTAGCTGTCCATCTAGCAGAAGCTCCTGATGTAATGCTTGTGTCTCATGTATCTAGTGAAGAAGAATCTTTTCGTCTCATTTCACTTCAGCTCCCATAGTACAGGTAGTCCTCAGCTTACAACACTTCACTTAATGACGATTCCAACTTACAATAGCACTTCTTGCCAGGCACACAACCTGAACTAGACTGTTGTTTCTGCGTGTCATATATCAGAGTGAGAGGGATGGCATATAAATTTAAAAATAATATTTGCTGTTAAAAACCTTTTGCCAAATATATCCAGACAAAGAGTAATAGTTCTTCCCTCACTCCAGTCTCATTAAGTGTTGTATCTTATGATTTCTGATGAATGTATCTTATGATGATTATGATCATGGTTTATCACTTATTGCTTGTATGTACACGGAGAGCTTCTGCACTAGAGACAATCCCTTGTGTGTCCAATCACCCTTGGCCAAAAGAATGTTCTGTTCTGTTCTGTTCCATTCCATTCCATTATTCTGTTCTGTTCTATTCTAGTCTAGTCTATTCCCTATCCTATATTCTATTCTATTCTATTCTATTCTATTCTATTCTATTCTATTCTATTCTATTCTATTCTATTCTATTCTATAGTTTCTATTCTATTCCATGTTTTCTATTCTATTCCATTCCATTCCATATACTCTATTCTATTCTATTCTATTCTATTCTATTCTATTCTATTCTATTCTATTCTATTCTATTCTGGCCTATTCCCTATCCTATATTCCATTCCATTCCATATTTTCTATTTTATTCCATGTTTTCTATTCTATTCTATTCTATTCTATTCTATTCTATTCTATTCTATTCTAGTCTAGTCTAGTCTAGTCTAGTCTAGTCTAGCCTATTCCCTATCCTATATTCCATTCCATTCTATTCTATTCCATATTTTCTATTCTATTCCATATTTTCTATTCTATTCCATGTTTTTTATTCTATTCTATTCTATTCTATTCTATTCTATTCTATTCTATTCTATTCTATTCTATTCTATTCTATTCTATTCTATTCTATTCTATTCTATTCTATTCTTATTTTTGGAGGAATGTTTCTCCGCAATGAGAAACAACAAAAATTTAAAAACCAGGATACTGGAAGAACAAAAAACCCCCAAATTTTTATACGATGACATGACATTTTATGCAATCTCCATGGGGCAGCTGTGTTAGAAAGAATTACAGCCAATATGCTATTTCCCCAGACCCTAATAACACCTTTGGACTCAGGAAATGACTGAAATTACAAGAGGCATACTGTAAATAGATAAAATAAATTGCACATTAAAAGTTAACTGATTCATAAATTTTATACTCGTTGTCGCTTTATGAACTACCAAATCTCTTAGCATAGTTACTTCTGGGAAAGAAAAAAAAAAAGCTCTACCAGGATAGGGAAAAAAAGGCATATTTATAATAGCTAAAACTATACTGTCCCTTAACATACAGGTAAGGGACAGTATAGTGATGATCATACAGGTTATGATCATCATTGAGTCCAAAATTTCTGTTGCTAAGGGAACACATTTGTTAAGTGAGTTTTTCCTCATTTTGCGACCACGGTTGTTAAGTGAATCACTGCAGCTGATAAAAGTTAGTAACCTGGTTGTTAAGTGGATCCGGCTCTTCCCCCACTGAATTTGCTTGTCACAAAAGGGGATCACGTGACCCCAGGACACTGCGACCGTCATAAATATGAGTCAGTTGCCAAACCTCCGAATTTTGATCATGGGATCACGGGATGCTGCAACAGTCGTAAGTGTGAAAAACGCTCAAAAGTCACTTTTTTCAGTGGCATTTTAACTTCCGACGGTCATTACATGAACTATTGTAAGTGAAGGACTATCTGTATATGCCTAGGAATTACCCTTTTTTCTAAAAAAAAAAAAAGTCCATTTGACTTTTCTTCAAGTTTAACATAGTTCAGGGAACTTTTTAAGAAGTCCTGTATCTGGGCCCTGCAGTTTTCAATCTGATTTTATGGGAATTCCCTTGCAATTTCTTTTAAGCAATGGCAGGCTGTTTTTTGTTTGTAAAGTGCACTTAAAACTCTCCCTCTCTCTCTCTCTCTCTTTTTTTTTTTTTAAAGAGAAACCATATTGATTCTGTCACTTACGGTTCTATTTTCTAAAACGTTGAACCGAATCCAATAAGCCTTCAGCAGAAATTCACTGTTAGCTTGAAAAAAAGTCTCTTTAACTTGGTAAACTGGAAGAAAACAGTTTAACTTGCTTATGTACGGCCTTTCTGTCACTGCCAGCCAAAGCCTATTTTCGACAAAGAAAAAAAAAACAGGCTTTTGAATTTAATGCTAAAACATCAGGGTACTTTTCCTTGAAAGTGGCCGATGGGCTATATAAATCCCCAAATCTTTTCCTTTAAACTTTAATCACATGTTTGTGAACAGGAGAACGGATGGGAAATGTAACTTTTGGTTCTTAATCTTTATTTTTAGGATGCTGGATTTGCTAGGACGGGCGCAAGCTTGAGTTCCAGAAAGGAAGATAAAAAATTAGAAAGAGTTTGGTGCCACTGTTGGTTTTGCACACCCAGAGAAAGAAGGTGAAGTATCTGCTTTTGAAGGCAACTGAGCTAGAACTAAAAGGCTGGAGGCTGAGGTAGGATTTCTTAAAAAAGTTCTCTGAACTCTAATATTGGAATTAGAACAGGAATAGTCTTTATTGGTCAAGTGTGATGGGACAAGCAAGAAATTTGTCGCCGGTGTACATACAAACTACAAAGTGACAAGTCATAGATCATAAACTGTAAGATACAATCATAAATCATTAGGTACAAACAACAAGTGGTAAATCATAAGATACCAACAGGAGAAGGAAGTTGGAAAAAATGAGAAGACGAGAAAAGATGAGGATAATCGCAATTACAGCCCTACTACATGGGTAAATATCTACTAGACATAAGATGGTGCTGTGAGAGTGAGGTGTTTACAGAACATCTCCGCTTCATCAGAGCCCTGGAAGAAGAGATAATTTTTGTAGGACTTTACTCAGATCTCTATACTTCAGGTTGTAGCAAAATCCTATGTAACAGCAGCAAAAACGAGGCACCAACTAAGGTAAGGACCTACTGCTTGAGCAGGGGGCTAGACTAGAAGACCTCCAAGGTCCCTTCCAGCTCTATTCTGTTCTATTCTATTCTATTCTATTCTATTCTGTTCTGTTCTTGTTCCTGTTCTATTCTATATTCTATTCTATTCTATTCTATTCTATTCTATTCTATCCTATTCCATTCCATTCCATTGCACTCCACTCCATTTCATATTTTCTATTCTATTCTATTCTATTCTATTCCACTCCACTCTATTCCATTCCATATTTTCTATTCTATTCTATTCTATTCTATTCTATTCTATTCTATTCTATTCTATTCTAGTCTAGTCTATTCTATTCTAGTCTAGTCTATACAGCATATGTATATACCTACACACTTACATATATAAATACATATAAATATTAATCACTGTCCCTCTTGAATACGTAGTGGAAAGAGGAAGCTTGAGAGTTCACAAAACTACTGTATAAATATGATTTAATATGAGGTTAAACTGGAAGAAAAGTTAAAATGGGAGTTTAAAAGTTTGCTGCAACTTCCCGATTATGATTTTACACGGACGCTGGGGAGGACTTAGGCTCACCCAGATGCCGCTCCCAATTTATCCCCAGGAAGGGACGTGTAAGACGAAACTGGGGTGACCACATTCCTGCGCACTTACAGCCCAAGAGGCACAAAGGAGAGAGCGGAATAATAAGATGCAAATTCACTCTGTTTAGGCACAACCCATGAAGTGCACATTTAGCCACTATAGAAAGCATTAATCATAGGAAACTGTAATATTTGTTATCAGTCCAACACTAATCAAAAGCCCAGCCTGTCACTGCCGCTGACCTGTGAAACATCCCAATTATACCCTGTGGAAATGACAGGAGCACTTAACTTCTCGCGAAGCAAATGACGACAATCAATCACGTTTGAATAACAATGAGCCACGGAGCTGAAAATTATTTTTTGTACAGGATCCAGCCAGGAATTTATGAAAGGTGAAAAGCCACCAAGGTTTTAGGGGCGATGATTGCTTTCAGCTAGTACAGTGCATATCAAACACTAAACAGAATTTATGGGTTTTAATTTCCCAAAAGGTGGATGTGGACTTGGTGCTACAATGCATAACATATAATGCCAGGTTTTAAATATGAGGGTCATTTTCATAAAATATTATGCTTATTGTCTGCACCCTTGAATTCGTTGAATAACTTCTTTATTAAGTTCTCATTTGCGGTTAAAAAAAAAAAAAAAGAGAGAGAGAGAGAGAGAGAATTAACGCCTTAGCTTTAATCCCTCGGTTCCCAAATAAAGATATTGGCATTCATATCGTTTTTAAGCAAGCTGCCTTCCTCCTTTATTTGTAAAGATAATTATCTATAAATGAGTGGAGAGGAGACACCTTAAGAGCAACTCATCCGAACTGGATCACTCATTCCATCCTCTGCATAGTTTCCATTTAAAAACTGCTTATTGAAATTACATTCTTTTTTAGAGCCAGAAAAGCAGCAGAATTGTGTTAATTGGACTTGCAATGTTTGAATCTCTCTTTTCTAGTTCAAAACATGCCTTGCACCAATGGAAAACTACTTCTGACTCTTGTGGATGTAAGTGTGCACTCTGAATGCATCCTCAATACTAGTAACAAGACAATCATTTCAAGAGAATTTGGCAACCTGGTTTAAAAGAAGCCAATGTCTGTAAACGGACTCTGAACGGGGTCCATTGAAGCTCACGCTTCCTGCTTCAGGGACTCCATCCAGCCACCTCCTTCTCTGTCGTCCCCTTCTTCTCTTGCCCTCCATCTTTCCCAGCATCAGGCTCTTCTCCAGGGAGTCCTTCCTTCTCATTAGGTGGCCAAA